AGTTAAGATTTGATTTTCTTTTTGGTTCTTTAAGCTTGAGAATTGTTAAGCATGTTCTTCTCTATGTTTTTTATTAACTCAGGGTCTTCGTACATTTCATTTTAATATTATACTTTGTCTTCCTGAACTACCCTTTGAAATATGCTGGCCAGCTCTTTTACTACATCATTTCTTCCATTTGCCTTAGCTACTCTATGTTTATAAGCAAATTTCAGTCTCTTCTGACATCCATTTGGTCATTTTTCTTTCTTTCTTATCTTTTTAATGACCTTTATCTGGACTTATGCTAAGTGACAAATGCCAGACTAGAATACACTACTTTTCAGAACAGGTTACTCGGGGTAGTAATTAAAGTTTACCTATAGCGTAGTGGTTATGAATCGGGCTGCAAACCCTAAGGTCAGCGGTTCGAAACTACTAGCCGCTCCACGGGAGAAAGATGAGGCTTTCTACTCCCGTAAGGATTTACACCCTTGGAAACCCTGTACAGGGTCGCTATGGGTCGGAACCAACTCAACGGCACTTAACAACAACAACAACAACACTGTAACAAAATGAGACAAAACCAGCTGAGAATTGAGATCCTATTTAAAGAAATACTCTCTGAATATTGCGTCCTCTAATTTTTTTTTTTTTTTAAGTGTAATTTTCATTTTATTATCTTGCAGGTTAGTTTTACTTCAGCCTTTTAAGGGCTCAATTCTTTACAACGAGCTTTGGTGGCGGTCATGGGGCAGAACCTGCAGGTCTAAATCAGGGTGAGGGTGTTCGCTCCTTCCGAGCTTCACTAGAATGGCACAGCTCACACAATAATGGAGTTTCACATATAGCTTGGGAAGCACATATGCACTGAAGACACTGGCTTCGGAAATATCCCTGGCAGCTGTGGCCTCTACTATGTTTCGAATTACAGACTCCTTAATGGCCTTGTCTTTGGGTACCCAGTGGGCGCAATTCGTGCAGTAAATAGGCTGCACGTGGCCATGGCCCTTTTTTGCACGACCATTGTTTCTCCTTTTCTTTGTCATCTTGGAAGTAAGGACCCAAGAGAGCTAATTTCCTTTTAGTAGCAAATTTCTACAGTGCAAACCTAGGAAAGTTGATCACCAGATATGCTTAGTTAATATATACCTGAAGTTGAAAAGTCAATTTATTAATTGATCCAAACTACTTACTGCCCAAATGCCTGGCAGGCACTTAAGACCCAAATTATTCTCTGCAAACACCAGGGGAAAGCTGGGGACAAAGTGATACCTTCACACCTGGGATGTGGAAACATTGGGCAGGCACACCTTAATCCTCAAATTTATGTTTGCTCTTGAACATTTGTAAGAGATCTTGTGTAGCAGATTTGCTTAATGCAATACGTTGTTTCATTCAGAATGCAATGAATGTACAGTGTAGAAGTTGAACATCCAAACTATAGTTTTCAACATTTTCATGCAAGCTGTAGCCAGGTGGTGGAGTCCTGGTGTCGCACTGTGGGCTAATGAGTTGTATGAACTGTAAGGTTGGCGGTTCAAGCTCACCAGTTGTTCCTTGGAAACCCTATACAGGGTCACTATGGGTCAGAATCGGACTCGATAGCACTTAACAACACAACCAAGTTATCACTGTCCCACGGGACAAGTATTTACTGATGCCTACTAATCCTGGTGTGGTGCTGTGGGTTAATGCGCCAGACTGCAAAGCCATTTGAACTGCAAGGTCGGCAGTTCAAGCTCACCAGTCAGCTCCTAGGAACTGACTCAATGGCATTTAACAACGACACAAGGAAGACCACTAATATTTAAATTTATGCACCAACCACTAAAGCCAGTGATGAAACATTAAAGAATTCTACCAACTTCTTCAGTCTGAAATTGATCATTTTGTGTGGATCCACCATCAACACTCATGGAAGCAGCAGTTAAGAAAGAAAATGACATATTGCATTAGACAAATGTTACACAAGACCTCTTTAAAGAGTTCAAGAGTGAAGATGTCAGTTTGAAGACTAAGGTTCACCTGGCCCAAACCATGGTGTTTCTAATCCCCTCATAGGCATGTGAAAGTTGGACAATGAATAAGGGAGACTGTAGAAGAATTCATGTATTTGAGTTATAGTGCTAGAGAAGAATATTAAAAGTACCATGGACTGCCAGAAGAACAAACAAATCTGTGTTGGAAGAAATAAAGCCAGAATGCTACTTCGAAGCTAATATGGCCAGACTTTGTCTCATATACTTAGAGTATATTATCAGGAGGAACCAGTATCTGAAGAAGGACATCATGCTTGGTAAAGTGGAGGGTCAGCAAAAAAAGAGGGAGAACATCAATGACATGTTTTGGCATAGGGGCAACAGCAATGGGTTTAAGCGTAACAACTGTGAGATTGGTGCAGGATCAGGCAATGTTTTATTCTGGTGTACGTAAGGTCGCTATGAGTCCCTGCTGAATTGACAGCACCTAAAGGTGTGGCGCTGTGGGCTAATGCACTAGACTGCAAAGCTGTTTGAACTGCAAGGTCAGTAGTTCAAGCTCACCAGCTGCTCCCTGGAAACCCTTTACAGGGTCGCTATGGGTCAGAACCGACTCAACGGCACTTCACAACAACAACAGCAACAGCATCATCCTCTTATAAACAAATATCGGTCTTACCATCAGTGTATTATGTTCAACAAATTCTGAGTCAGGTCCACAATCAGCTTCTTCATGCACCTTTCCCCACAAGATAGGTACACGCAGAAAGCATTGGTAATGGTCACATAACCTGCCCACTAATTATAACTTATCATTCCTTTCATTTACAAATTGCTATAACTGCTATGAGAACAGAGTGAGGAAAAGAAAGTGTGTGTGTGTGAGAGAAAGAGCTTCATAATTAAAAAGTGGCAATATGTAGTGTGACACATAAAAAGATGTCAAAACAACTTCAATTAGATTTTCACTTTTGGAAAATAGAAAGGGCTGGCTCTGTGACTTAATGCGACAGACTGCAAAGTTGGTTTGAACTACAAAGTTGGTGGTTCAAGCTCACCAGCTGCTCCTCACAGAGTCACTATGGGTCAGAAATGACTCGACGACACTTAACAACAACACTGTTAATGTGATTCTCAGTCAATACTGAAAAAATAAAAGTGACCACTTGATTTTAATTGTGTTTTTTTTCAAAAAGAAAGTAATTTTGAGAATCTCATTTCATATTAAATGGTCTTAGAGAAAGTCCATTTGAGAAATAAATAGATAAGAAACTTTTATGTATTGTAGAGGAGTTGTTGTTATTTGCCTTTGAGTCATAGCAACCCTGTGTAGGGTTTCCAAGGAGCAGCTGGTGCGCCTGAACCACCAACCTTGGAACCAGCGCATTAGCCCACGGCACCACACCAGGACTCCTTGTAGAGGAATTGGAAATCAGTTCCAACTCATAGTGACTGTGTATGGGGTTTCCAAGGAGTGGTTGGTGAGTTAGAACCACCTACCCTGTGGTTCAAATGGACTTTGCAGTCTAGTGCATTAGCCCACAGCACCACAGAAGGACTTCTGTAGAGGAGTTATTGGTTGTTGTTAAGTGCCATTGAGTCAGTCCCAACCCATAAAGACCCTGTATAAGGGTTTCTGAGGAGCAGCTGGTGAGTTTGAACTGCTGACCTTGCAGTTCAAATAGCTTTGCAGTCTGGCACATTAACCCACAGCGCCACACCAGCACTAGTAGGCATCACTGTCCCATGGGACAATGAGAACATGGTTATGCTGTTAAGTGCCGTCGAGTCGATTCTGACCCATAGCGACCTTGTCTGGTAGCGTAGTGGTTACGAATCGGGCTGCGAACCTTAAGGACAGCGGTTCGAAACTACCAGCCGCTCCGCGGGAGAAAGATGAGGCTTTCTACTCCCGTAAGGATTTACACCCTCGGAAACCCTGTACAGGGTCGCTATGGGTCGGAACCGACTCGACGGCACTTAACAACAATAGGGTTTCCAAGGAGCGGCTAGTGAGCTTGAACCATCGACCTTGCAGTTCAAACAACTTTGCAATCTGACTCATTAGCCCACAGTGACACACCAGGACTCCACCACATGGCTATAGCTCACATGAAAATGTTGAAAACTACAGTTTGGATGTTCATTGCATTCTGAATGTCTCTAGCTTCATATGGGGTACTTTTAGGGACATAACAACCAGGCACATGTGAAGTGGCCACATGTTTGACCATCAGCAGTGGTGAGATGTCAACAAGGTGGATAGAACAGGCATAATCTAAAAGCATTCATATTCAAATTTACAAAATACTATGTAACCAAAACACTTAAGGCCTACCTTCCCCCACTGCTTTTTCATATCCATAAACAGAGTAAACTTTGGTAAATTTGGGGGGAAATAATTGAAAAGAACCAAGAACTAAACATTTCAGGCCTACTTCTTCAATTCACACTTGAGAAGCATTTTACCAACCCACCCCACATGCCTGACAGTCTGTCACACTGTAGTGGCTTATGTCTTGTTGTGCAGGATCACTTGTGGCATATGCGTTTCAGTGAAACTTCCAGATTAAGACAGACTAGGAAGAAATGCCTGGTGATCTACTTCCAAAAATTAACTAACAAAAATCCTATGGTTCACAGAATATGAACTTATTTACTTTGGATGGTCATCAGGAGAGACATCATGTTTGGGGAAGTGGAGGACAGAGTGGGTGTGGTAAGCCCTTGGCTAGATAGACTGACAAAATGCACAACAGACTTGAACATAGCCAACAATTGGGCAATATGAGCAACCCTCCTTCTGTTACATGAGACAGCCATGAGTTGGAACCCCCTCCATGGGGACATGAGAAAAACATGAGGACCTTGTTTCTACGTTGACATCCTAAAAGACATGCACAGCCAGTGGAGAACACATGACAGCTCATCAACATATGGCTGAGAATTAGGGAAAATTAATATTGATGCGGCCTGGTTATAAGCAGTTTCAAGAAAAACAAACACATAACACACACCAAAAGAAAGTGAGGCATTTACCATCTCCTTCGCTGAGGGGCTCCTTGGGATCTTCCAGACCAGGAGGCCACTTCTGCTGGGCTGTGGGGGTCGTAATGGGCTTCAATGCTCTCAAATGCGCTCGGAGAAGGTACAGCATCCCCAGGTCGTCCTCCTCAGGGGCTGACTCATAGCGATCTGTGCGAGGCACGGGAGGCGCCAGGATGCCGCTGCGGTGCGCAGTACCCTTGTCCAGATTTGGTGCTGCAGGTCTCTGAGCAGCGTAGGCGCTGAGGGCCGCGATCAGGTTCTGTCTGTCCAGGCCACTGTCCACTTTAGGACTGAGCTCGTCTGGCTGGAGTGGGCCAAGGGTCCGCAGTGAAATATCCTCAGGGTAGTTGGCCCAAGACATGGGAGGGTAGGTCAGAGCAGAACTACTTCCTTTGGAGGCTTGAGCCATGTAGGTCAGCATGCTCTCTGGGAAGGGATCATCACTCTGGAGTGGGCAAAAACGAAAATTCAAGAAAAAAGTTGAATCTCCAGACTCAACCAAGGGGTACTAAAACAATCCTGATTATGAAGTACTGAAGCTGGAAATAGAACCAGACAAATCTGAAATGTTGTTGTTAAGTGCCGTAGAATCAGTTACGACTCATAGAGACCTTGTATAGGGTTTCCGAGAAGCAGCTGGTGAGTTTCAACTGCCAATCTTGCAGTTCAAACCGACTTTATGGTGGAGCGCTTATCCTACAGCGCCATACCAGGACTCCAATGGGCGTCCAAAATTGGGGTATATAGGGTTTCTGAGGAGAAGCTGCTGGGTTTGAACTGCTGACCTTACAGTTCACAGTCCAGTGCTAATCCAACGGTGCCACTCCATGAATTTGCTAAATCTATGTGTGGAGCCGACTCAATAGCACTCAATAACAACAACATATATCACATTATTTGCATTTTTGGTTTTGAACAGTAACTGTAATGGCATCACTCACACATCATAAAATTAACCCTTTTAAAGTATACAGTTTTGTGGTTTTTACTATAGCACCTCTATCTACTTCCCCAAAATTTTCATCAACCTAAAAAAGAAAGCCTGTATCCGTCCTCATTCCTCTCTTCGCTCATCCTCTGGCAACCATTATTGTAACTCCGTCTCTATTGCTTTGCTTATTCTAGATGTTTGAATTAAACAGAATCATATAAGTGAGCTTCAAAAACGTCTGTGGAAAAATGGAAATAAAAAATAATGGATTTTTTTCATGAATTTTTTGAAGGCCACTTATATACTATGTGTTTTTTTTCACATCTACCTTATTTCACATAACATAATGTTCTACTTGTTCATCCATGTTTTAGCATTCCTGTTTAACGACTGAAAAAATATTCCATGGATAGACACATTTTGTTTATCCACTCACCTCTTGATGGATTTGGGGTTGCTTTTTATCTTTTGACTATTATGAATGTTTCTATGAACATTGTTGTTGCTGTTAAGAACCATCAAGTTGATTTCGACTCATTATTGTAATTAAGTTCCATCAAGTCGGTTCCGACTCATAGCAACCCTGTGTAGGGTTTCCAAGAGTGGCTGGTGGGTTTGAACTGCTGGCTTTGTGGCTAGGCGGTCAGTATTTATTATACAGCACCACACCAGGGCTTTCTTTGAACATTAATGTACAAATTTATGTACGGGCATGTGTTTTCAGGTTTTTGCATATATACTTAGCACACATAATTTTTTGAAGAACTTCCAAGCTGTTTTCCAAAGAGGATGGACAATTTTACATCCGGCCAGCAATCTGTGAGGATTCAAGTATCTCCACACCCTTATCAACACTTGCCATAATCTCCTTTTTTTTTTTTAATAGCTGTTTTAACAGATGAAAAGTGCTATGTAACTGTGGTTTTACTTTGCATTTCCTGATGGCTGATAACGTAAAGCATCTTTTCATGTAATTGCTGTCTACTTGTGTATTTTCTTCTTATTGTTGTTGTTAAGTGTCGTCTAGCTGGTTCTGACCAATTGCAACCCTGTATAGGGTATCCGAGGAGCAGCTAGTGAGCTTGAACCACCGACCTTGCAATTCAAATGGCTTTGCAGTCCGGTGCGTTAACCCACAGTGCCACCTGGGAGAAATATACATTCAAATCCTTTGCTGAATTGTAGCTCCAAAAAAAGGGTCTTTCTCCATAATTGGATTTTTTTTTTTCCAGCAGTCTTCAATAGTAGCTGCAAGGACTTTATAAGGAGACCCTTTTTAACTTTAATTCCTTTACTGATGATTTAAACTATTTTCATATGTTATTCTTTTAATGGAGTTCTGATGACTCACTGTATGGTAAACACTGGACCACAAGATTGGTTTGTACTTCAAGGTCAGCAGTTCAAAATCACCAACTGATCATCAGAAACCCTATACAAGACTGCTATGACTCAGAACTGACTTGATGGTACTAACAACTACAATAATTCTTTTAACAGTAATGTTCTACAGCTGTAAGGGTCTCTGTGTTTAATAATGATATGTCGTATTGCTTAATAATGCATGCCCTGACCAACATCATCTTTCAGTGAATCTCCAACTTATATTTTCCCCAAACTCATTAATCAATTTTCCAAGGAAAAACTGTCCTCTCCACTCTTTGTTTCTATACACACAGCCTGCCTAGACATGCAAGGCCCAATTGTTGTCCTCACCCCTAAGTAACCATGAATCTGTTAGAAATCTAAATGTTCTATCTCTGACTATGGCCCCATCAAAACTATGCAAAATCATGTTTGTTTGTTTTCAACTTCTACGCTCTTAAAAAAAAAAAAAGTTAGGTCTGTCCTGGATACATACGCAGAACTCCCTTAATGGTGCTGTTTGAGTCCCAAAACCATGAATTTAAAAATATTTGTCCATTCACGTTTTCTTCTTAAACCTTCCTTGGAGTTTACCAATTTTAAGTCAATGGTAGCATATATTCTAAGATCTAGTTATGGTGTACAGCCATAGCTAAATTTAAATCAAGTGGTTTGGGCTCATAAGTATTACATACACATATATGTTGTTGTTAAATGCTGTCCAGCTGGTTTTGAACACAGTGATCCTTATATAGGGTTTCCGAGGAGTGGCTGGTGGGTTTGAACTGCCAAAATTGCAACTCAAACTGACCTTGCAGTCCAGCACATTATCCTGCAACACTACACCAAGATTCTGTGTTTAGACTTTGGGGATAGATTTCAGTGTATATAATGAGCTGGAATTCAGGAAATCCTGGTTGACATGGATTCTAGTTTTAGCAGTTTACATACGAACTGGGCCGATCACTTTACTAGTAACTCGGTTTTCTTCTCTTAAATAAAGAGATTCGAGATTATTTCTAAGATTTTTTTTTTAAATGTCTAAATGATATGATCTTATCTACCACCTTAGTTGTTTAATTGTGTCCAAGTCCTAGCCGATATCAACAGCTATTTTTTTAGAAAAAGAGAGACTAAGATTCATTGGCGGGAGAGGGTGAAAGACTCAGAAAGAGAGCAATACAAAATGCTACCACAACAAAATAGCCCCTCAAGCGATTTCCCACAAATTGGGTGTGAGTGTCAATCTTAAGTGCAGCCTGAACTCCTTTCAGAAGGGCTGTCTCTGAACACTTGGTCAGGTCATAGTGCTGGGGGCTGGGGATCCGCATCCAAATGCTTCATTAATGCACTGACAAGCATCTCTCCTCTATATGCTAGGGATGAAGTCTAGCCTGGACCATCCTTTAATTACAGCAGAGTTGGAGAACTTCAGTTAGGAGACGGCTTTGCACAAGGCATTACAAAATTACAGCAGAATCTTTCTCCCACACTATCAACAGTAGATGGCAGGTAAACAATCTCTTTTTGGTTTGTTGATGCTATGAACCAAATTACGGTGAAAAAGTTAAAAGAATAATTCAATAGTTCACACAAATAATAGAGACAGGAAATAACTGAAAGTATCAGTTTTCACAGGTCACATGGGTCCTCTGTAAACTATTGCAAACATTGGGTTCACCCCATAACAAAGAGGAGCTGGGAGCTGGGAGAATAAGCAGTAAGGAAAAGGTATTTTCATAGTGGATTCCTCTTTTGTGTCTTCATGTCTCCAAAGAGAGAGTATTACATTCTGGAGTGAGAATATCTAGGTTTGAATCTCACCTCTGATACTTGCATTCTGTGTGACCTTTACTTTGGTGAATTAAACTCTAAGTCATTGTAAAATGGGAGATAATAACAGTGCCAGGCACAAAAACATCAGTGGCTACAAGTGCTGCTGTTGGCTGCTGACCTCCCTGAGCTTCCCTTTTACCAACTGCAATAAGGAGAAAAATAATGTCTCTTTCCTTAAAGCATTTGTGAGGATTAGGGAGAATCCAGATGTTTCACTTGGCACATGACATAGAAAAGGTGTTTGAAAAAAGGTAGTCACTATCATTTTCACCTTAACCATCATCATCATCATCATCACCACCATTATCATCGTTATGGCAACTACCACTGCTGGGCACCACTTTCTGGGCTGCAGAAGGAAATGAGAGGTAAATCTTGGCTATTAATACTGCAATTTGAATGAATACTATTAGAGAAGTTCAGGAAAATAATAAGAGATATAGAAAGAAATCAGAAGAGTGTTCTGGAGCCCATTTTTGCACCGCCTAACCTTGTGTGCACACACCCTTCATTGGCTCTCCTGTTAGCCATAGTGAGAATCAGGGAAGTGGTTTTCCTTGCTCCTAGCTTCACAAGGACTGGGTACAGTACAAAACCGCAGGCATCCTTCCTTTGACAAGCATGTCTCTCAGGGAAACCTACCCACCCAGCACCAGGTCACATCATTACGAATTCAGGCTGATGTAAAAACGTGGAGTTCCTCTGACTCTCATATATAAGTAAACACTGGTCAGTCAGTCATGATCAATAAATGATAAGAAATTAGGAAACCCAAGTTGGCTCATTTTTTGACCATATAACAAACATCTTCTCCCATTTGTCTTACAGCCTGAAGGCAGCATTGACAAGCACACTTTGATCCAGACAAGCTTGCTGTCAGAGTGACAAAGCATGTGACAGCAGGGTTGGCCTGCGGCTTTCTAATGCATAAGCAGCAGCAATGCCACTGTGTACAGTCAGATTTGGGAGTTCAGAGGAAGTTTTGGGAACACCAACTTCCAGCTCATTAGGGCAGAGTAGAGGTTTAGCGCCTTTCTGGACTCAGGTTGTCAGGAGATTCTGGTGACCAGATTCCCTGTCCCCTACCCTTGACCCTCTACTTACCCCTCTCCTTGTCTCTTTCTGCCTCAACATGGAGGAATGTTGTCAGTGTTTACTAATGTTCACACTGTAAGTGGCCCACCCATGTGAGGGGGTAAGAAGATTGGGGTTCTGGGGTGCGGGCATCATTCTTACGATTGGCGCTTTTGGCAGTGCAAAGTGCTTTCACAGAAGCAGACAAGCCTCATGCTGGCTTATAATGTAAAGTTGTT